GGACTCCAGGAGAAAGGGGGGTCCATTTGGTAACATTGTGCAACCCCTTCTGCAGTGGCCAGTCAAGGAAAATCATGGGAGGCCACATGTGCAGTAGCTTTAAAGTAATACAACTACTTGCACATGCACCAAAACTAGCCAGGAAGGATCCGCCCTATAAGAATAGAGTCCCTCCAGCCCATGAGGTCAATCTCTGCTTGGAGTTGGCCTGGTCCCATGTTCTCCGCTATAAACTCTGGGTGTTCGGTTCAATTCTTTGTTCTGATCACCAAGAACCTGGTTACCTGTGCCCACCTGTGACACAACCAACTGAGCCACTCGGCCAGGGCCTAATATGGACTTATTAAAATGTGACCTTTGTTTTGTCATTTATTCCTCAAGTAATTATGGTGCTTCTTACTACCTGCAAAGCCCTGTTGTGGGTAGTCACATAAGTGAACAAAACAGACAGGGATCCCTGCTTTCATAAAGTTTACATTCTAGTGGAGAAAAATTGACCAACAGAAGTAGCATAATTATCAAGAAAATCATATGTTATATTGGGAGGTGATAATTGCTGCAAAAAATATATAGCAAATCAGAAATAGTTAGGGCTGGATATGGATAGCTGGATGGCAACACTTTTGGGGGACAGGAGAATTATGAGGGTGTTGAATAATTTCTAAAACAGCAACCAATACACACTACTGTTCCCCGCCGCCCCCCCCCCCCCGCCCCAGTCAGGATATAAAGATTCAGGAATGAAAGTTCCAGCCAAGGTTAGAAATAGGAGTGTGATATGTATGAGGAAATGATGGGAGAAAAGAGTGGCTGAAGTTTTATACAAGATCAAGAGTAGAGGGGGACATGGGTAGAGGCCAAATTGTGTTGTCGATGCAGGGTTTGGGTTTTGTTCTGTGTAAAATCCAAAGCTGTAGACTTTGAGTAGGTAAGTGAAATCATAGTACGTGACTATTAAGAAGGCCTTTTGAAATGGCTGGTATGGAATTAAGTGAGCATAGAACCAGTGAGAGGATTAAGGGGCTGTTGCAGTAGTAATGGAAACTGAGGTCAGTGTCCCAAAGTGCATTGTCGGAGGGAGAGTTGGAGGAAGAAAGGAGACCAAACAGATGATGGGTGGGATGTTACAGAAGAAGTAAAGGGAAGTGGAGATAAAGCATAGCTCCCAGGTTACAGTCTGAAGAGCTGGACAGAATGTGGGGTCATAGGTAGGGGTGAAGATGTTATGATTTGGTATAGAAAAACCAAGATAAGTATTTATGATATATTTAGTTTTAGATGAATTGGGGCTTAAAATGGAGATGTAATTACTTAGATGTATAAGAGATTAGAGATCTCATAGAGATACAAATTTGGCTGCATATGGATAAAAGCATTTTTACTTTTTAATCTGTGGGAATGAACAGAAAACCAAAACTTAGGCTAAAGGAATTCCTTCATTTTGAATTTAAGCAGAGGATTGGAGCCTACAAAATAAACCAAAAAGCTTTACTGACATGAAGCTCTAGATCAAGAGGAGAAGGGTGAGAGGAAGAAGGAGGAGGAGGAGGAGAAGTGTGAAATGAGGTAGTGGAAGTGAAAAGAAGAACTGCTCTTAAAAAGGGGTTGGTGGTGTTCTGGGTTCACTGCTGTTGAGAGTTCCAGGAAGGATCAGTTGAAATCCACACAGAGCATTGACATTTCAGTGACACAGGTCGCTGGTCATCTTAACAAAAGTATTTTCAGTGGACTAGTTTGGAGCCAGAGCCAGACTGAAGTGAATTGAAATACAAATGTGAAGTGAAGAAGTGGCATTATCTCTTTAGACATTTTTAGAAGAAGTGTATAACAGAAATTTGGTGACCATTAGGGTATAATATGGGGCAAAGGAGTGATAATATTTGGGCTCTTTGCTACAACCATTGTTACTGGAGAAATTTTATTCATAGTATACTTCACAGATAGAGAAGAATGCATAGTTGATAAGTGCAAGGGCTTAGTAGTAAGCAGAGCAAGGTTTCAAATATTCACTGGCTAGCTGTGTGACCTTGAACAAGGCACTTAACCACCCTAACCCCCAGGAGGTTTTTATCTGTCATTCATATGTATCTATACACCTCACAGTTCCTGTGAGGATTAAGTGAGAGAACGCCTGTGGAACACTTAATACAGTCCTTGATATGCAGCAAATCCTCAGTAATATTTTGCTTCTTTTATTTATCCCTTTTTATTCATTATCATTTTATCCCTCCAATTTAACAAGGCAATTAGTGGGTCGACATTGAAGCAGGATAAATTTATAAGAAAATCTGTGATAATATTCACTTTGATTATATTTTCAAAGAACATGGAATGATTTTCTCTGTAATTCTTTTACCTACAGAATGTTTTTCATGTCCTTAATCCTGAAATGCAGGATTTGGAACAATTGTAGTAATTCTACAGATTACCACTAGAGGACAGAAGAGAGTCAAGCAACATCTGAGAAGAAATACTCAGGGACCAGTTGTCCTTGATTCTAGGACAGGCTTTCTTACTCTGGGAAACTCAGACATCAGAGCCTAGAATTGTTACATTTAAGCCCATTGTTTTTAAGTTAAATAATGGACCAGAAATCTTTCCCAAAGTTTTTTTCCCTTTCAAAAGTAGCTAAGGGATGATTTTCATTTTATCATTCTGTTTTTATACTTCTATCATAGCTCTCACATTATTTTGCATTATGTAATTTTATTTGTTTCCATGCTTAGCATCAATCACTTTTATATGAAAGCCTTTGAAGGCTGGTGTGGTGTCTCACTCGGCACTTCTTTTGCTTAGTAGACTCTAGGGATTTGATTTCAACATTCATTATCATAGTGGTAGAGAGAGGCAACAACAAGATACTCTTGAGATACAGATAAGGGGCATGTACATTCCTCCATACATTTTAAAAAAGATTTTATTTATTTATCTTTTAGAGAGGGGAAGGGAGAGAGAAAGAGATGGAGAGAAGCATTAATGTAATAGAAAAACATCAATTGGTTGCATATGTGCCCTGATGGGGGACTGGGGACAGAACCCTGAACTCAGGCACGTGCACTGACCAGGAATTGAACCAGCCACCCTTTTCTTTGCAGACTGATACTCAACCAACCGAGCCACACCAGTCAGGGCTCCTCTATACATTTGATAGGCTCACATATGTTGAAACCCAAGATCGATGCCAGAAAATCACTGATTGGGTTCTCAGAGTGTATTCTTTTTATAAAGAAAAAGTGCTAAGGAAATATTTATTCAACATATATGTTAGTATTACATGGTTTGACATGTATACTTCCATTTATTTCTTAGTCTGTCAGATAGACTCCTTTCATTTTACAAATAAAAGAACTAAGAAACAGAAAAATTTATCAACTCACCTAGTATCAGAGAGCTAGTGTATATTAGAGATCTTTTTTTTTAAAGATTTTATTTATTTATTTTTTAGAGAGGGAAGGGAGGGAGAAAGAGAGAGAGAGAGAGAAACATCAATGTGCGGATGCTGGGGGCTGTGGCCTGCAACTCAGGCATGTGCCCTGACTGGGAATCGAACCTGTGATGCTTTGGTTCACAGCCCGAACTCAATCCACTGAGCTATGCCAGCCAGGGCTATATCAGAGATCTTAAAAAAAAGTTTGCTTAAGATGGACAAACAAAATTGTATTTTATTCTGATACTATGTCCAGCAATAGGGGAGAAAGCACAGGCCCAGTGTGGATACCCAAATCTATGAAACAAAGGGTAAGGAGAGTTTTTAAGGGTGGAGTGGGGGAATCATAGGTCATCTCTGCTTGTGATTGGTTTTAGTCAAAGGAGCAGTAAACATTCACTTTCCTTCATGACAGGAAATCATTTCACAATTTGAGGCAAGAAGCCCAGTGAGGTTAGGTTTGTGCTCTATCACAGACACTGGGGGGTCAGGGCTTTTTCTTCCTTGATGATTACATTTCAGAGACATGTCCTTGGGGCCTTGAGAAAGACAGTCCTAGACTGTAAAACTGGCAGGAGGCTTTAAAAGCATTACATCTCAAAGGGTGGAGAGACAACTTATAGGTCTTCTAAAGTAAATACTGTAACTAAAGAGAGGCCAGGGGCCTACTTTAAGGAGAAACCCTGTCTAAGGTTTAGTGAAGCTGAAGGGGATAACAGAGCCGTATTGGAAAAGCCAGGCTTCAACTCTGGTCATTGTGAATCAATAAATTCATGCTGCTTTTATTGGAGGAAGTGGATGGTTACAACCTATCATATCAAATTGAGGTGAACGTTGCTGGGCAAAATACATATTTGTTGAATAAATGTTCTGTTCATACAGAACAAAAATCAGGAATCCCCTGAATTAATTACATTAATCAGTTAGATCCATGTGCACCAATTCAAATTCAACCAATATAGTTACTCACTATATGAACGAAGGTTCTATTGATAAACTGATTATCAATTACAACAAAGTACTTAAAAAGGAGGACTCAACTTCACCCCTTCCAAAATTTGCACTGAAGAGTACTTTCTCCTTATGGAATTTCCTGAGTCGAAGAAGAGGGGATGGGAACTCGTACTAAGTACCCTCAGTTCTGTTGAATTCCCCCTTACCAAGTAATGATCTCAAAGACTTATCAAGACTTTAAGGAGGTTTTTCTCCATTAACTCAAACAGGGAATAAAATTTCCCAATCTGTCCCAATCTCTAGGGCAATAGACTAAATTCATACGTTGACATACTCTGTGCCTAAAACAGAAACACTTAAAGGAGGACACTTTAAGAAAGACTTAAAGGAGTGACAAGGTAATGGCTGTTTTCAGCTATGTGTGGCAAGGAGATCGTAACAGAATGGTACGTAGACAGGATGTAGGCTGGAGAGGTGAATGGAGGCAAATCACAGTCTGGGTAAACTATTCAAAAGCCCTAAGTAAAGATCTGGAACAGTATTAAAACTCAAGGGCAACCACGTTCAGGGCTCGTGGTGCCTGTGACTGCTTAGCCAAACTGCAAAGACAAGGACTCGATTATAATTGCGCTTTTATTAATATCAAGAAGATGGCAAGCTGAGAAGGTGGAGGGTAAAAACTCCAACAGCCACCTTCTCTTGAGCTTTCAGAAGCAAGTTTCTATAGGGGAAAGGTGGGAAGGGAGCACAGAGGAAGTTCTGGTGACATGTAGTCTTGTGATCTCGAGTCCTTACGGTGGTCTTGATAAATGTCTTCATTACTGGTTCCTGAAACATGATGGTCAGCCTCCACATTCCCGGTGGCCAGTTGTTCCAAGGTCAGGCCTGGGTTGAACGTCCCTTGTTTGGTCAACTGTTACTGTAACAAGACCTCAACTAGAACATAAGGTTGAATATACACTAGATTAATTGGTTACATATTCTGTTGGTAATTATCTAAGGCTATAAGGGAGAGAAAAGGCATCTGGCCCTAAAAAGGATTTTGTCTCTATTTCCCCTATCAATCCCCACTATTAGTAATAAGTATCTTACATCTATCTATGTGATTAAATGTTTAAACTTTCTTTCCATGGAATTGTGTAGTTTATTCCTGAGGGTATTTAGCCCCCTTAAAAAGGGGTAACTGGAGCTCCGATTTTCTTCTTCCTAGAGTCAGACTAGGATAAAGACAACAGATAAGATATAAACGGATGAGACAAAAGTATTAAAAAAGGACTATGAGAGGCTTTTGGCCAAGATGGAGGCATAGGTAGATACACTTTGCCTCCTCGCACAACCAAAAGAAGACAGCAACAAATTTAAAAACTAAAAAAACCCTAGAACTGCCAGGAAATTGAACTGTGTGGAAGTTCGACAACCAATTCACCAGGAAGATGTGAATTGCCCATTTCACTTATGTCGGAGTATTTGTTGCAGAACAGCATTCACTCTGAAAACAACTAAATAAAGCCTAAATTAGAGGAATTCTGTTTGAAGCTAGAACCCACAGGATTAGCTTCAGAAAGAGAGCAGAAGCGATGGAAATGAAACTAATGTCTGCCTTTTCCCCTCAGAGCACTTGCCCGTTTTGGGTAAGAAACAAGAGACTGAGAAGCTGGGGAAAAGGGCAGCTGCTAAGAGTCAGAGAAAAGAGCAACACTTTAGGTAATCCCAGGGATCTGGACAGAGGGAAAAAGGAGGAATAGGAAGAAGATGGAGGAGTAGGAGTGGAAGAGGAGGAGAAAGACAGGTGGTTGTTTTTAAGGCAGAGTATTAATCCATTTTGTGAATATACAATGGTTTGTATGTCACTTCTGTTGATGGACATTTGGGTTCTATCCAGTTTTCCCCTAGTACGAATGACTGCGATGAATGTTTTTAAAGAACACTTTTAGGATTTATGCATTCATTTTTCTTCGGAAGTAAATAGAAGTAATACTACCAGGTAACAGGGTAGGTATATTTTGAATGCTATAGAAAATGCCAAATATTCGCAAAGTAGATGTGGTTAATTACAGTCTAGTCAATATCCCACTGTAATCTACACTCAGACGGGGGAGATAGAGAAAGAACAACTTTAAAAATCTATTTTTCAAGGGGTTTGTCTTCACCTTCTTCCAAGTTCTTAATGGCATCCGTGAAGATGTCTGTTCTGTGGTCACACCAAGTATCACCCCGAACCTCTTCAGGTCTGGCAGCAGAGCCCAAGAGGTACTCCAGGGCAGCCTTCCCCTGTCCCAGACTCTGGCCTGGATTTGACTAAATCTGTTAGATGGTCATGGCCACAGGCCTCTGTCCATGGCTTAGGAGCAGCGCAGGCGGGACCCGAAGGGGTCTGTTTTGCCCAGAGACCCTTTTTGCCAAGAGGACACTGGAGAAGCGTTAAGACGACAGGGCTTGGCGGAAAGAGCGCGCAGGTCGGGCTCATCGGACCAGAGGGGAGGGAGGGAGGGTTGGGGGAGCGGCCTCTGCGGTCTCTGGGTGCCTTCGAGGCGCGGGTGGATGGTCAGGAGCCCAGAGCACTGACAGTCGGCGCTGCACGATGGGCCCCCGCGGGGCCGGTCCGCAGCCCCGCGTCCACAGTGCTGGGCTGCAGGGCACGCACGGGGCAGAGCCCCGTGAGCCAGTGCGGAGATGGGCAACAGACTCCGATGCGGGCCAAGTCGAGAGCAGCTCCTAAGAAGGTTAATGAGATGCTGTCTGTCATCCAACCACAAAACGTCAGGCTCGGGCGGAGGCAGGAAGGCATGGCCCACAATGAGGAAAACAATCAGTTTATTGAAACCGAACAGTAACTGTTCAATTAGCAGAGAGGATTTTAACAGTTATTATGACTGTTAATATGTCTGAAGAGCTAAATAGAAACTTGGAACATATACGATGTCCAGAGTCAAACTGTAGAGATGTAAACAACAACGTCTGAGATAATAAATCCACTAGATGGAATTAATACATTAGACATTGCAGAAAAAGGATCAGGGAACATAAAGCCACGAATGATTGAAAATATCCAAAAAACCCAAATCCAAAACTTTTAAAAATCCTTTGTGAGTGATAGGGCAACTTTAAAAAGCCTAATGCAAGAGTTACTGGAGTCTCTGAAAAGACTGGGGATAGGAACAATTTTTGAAGAAAAATGACACAAAACTTTTCAATCACGATCAAAATTACAAATCCATCAAACCAAGGAGCCCAACGAACACCGTGAACGAGCACAAGAAACATAAAGAAAATCAGATTGTAATAAAATTGCTCAAATCTGTTGAGAGCAAAAATCTTCGAAGCTGCCAGAGAGAAGACATGGGACACACAGGAAACAAAAATAAAGATGGTGTCAGGTTTCTCACCAGAGACAGTGCAGGTGAGAAGATCGTGGGAAAGCTGCTTTAAAGGACTGTGGGAGGGAGTCGAAGTGGAATTCTGTGCCCACCCCCAAGTCTTTCAAAAGTGAAGGCAAATGATGACACTTGCAGACACAAATGCTGAAAGACTTCATCACCAGCACACCCACACTACAAGAAATGTGAAAGGGGTCCCCCATGAAGGACACTGATACCAGATTATTATTGTTCACAATAATAATGGTGGATGGTGGGGTTTGTGACATGTGTAAACTGCCACGCACGGCAACCACAGCACAAGGGCAGGCGGGGGAGAATTGGGAAGGGGCACGCTACCACGTGAGGGCAGGCTGTGGCGAGGTCCAGATGTGTGCTGTGGAGCCTAATGCAGTCGCTGAAATGGCAAAGGAAAGAGTGCTATGTAATAAGTCAACAAAAGGAGAGAAATTGAAATCCTATAGAAAGCATGTAAACACTGCCATAGAACAATTGCTCTTCTGGGACTCTACCCTGTAGAAATGCTTGAGAATTTATCCAAAGAAATGCAAAACACTAATCCGAAAGAACATATGCACCCCTATGTTCATTGCTGTGTATTTACAGTTGCTAAGATATGGAAGCAGCTCAAGTGTCCATCAGCAGATGAATGGATAAAAAATGATGGGACATTTACACAAGGGAATACTACTCAGCCATAAATAAGAAGAAAATTTTACCCTTTGTGACAGTATAGATGAACCTGGAGAACATTATGCAAAGTGAAATAAGCCAGTCAGAGAAAGACAAATACCATATTATTTCATTCATATGTGGAATCTAATGAACAAACTGACCTAACAAGCAAAATAGAGACAGACTCATAGATAGAGAGCAGGCTGACAGCTCTCTACCAGTTAGGGGGTAGAGGGATAGAGCCAAAAGGAAAAAGGACTCTGGACATGGATAACAATGTTTTGACTGCAGTGGTGAGGGGAATATAAGGGGGATAAATGGTAATAAAAATACAATAAAATAAATTAAAAAAAGAACTACTTTAACAAGTGGTCAGTTGTACAAGAATGATGAATACAGCGCTATTTGTAATCCCACAATGACAGAAACAATATAACATGGAGAGTATATGGAAAGTGTTCAGAAAATACTAGAAGGTGGTAGTGAGGAAGCCTCTATCGGTAATGGTTAAAACAGAACATGCACAGAAAAGCCTCAAACATTTGGCTTCTATTTCCAAAGAATAGCAGAGGCGTCCCTGGGTGGGCTCGAACCACCAACCTTTCGGTTAACAGCCGAACGCGCTAACCGATTGCGCCACAGAGACCTGCAGAAAGCGACCGCTCACAGCACCACAGAGCAAGCACTCAGTCACCGCTAGGTGGAGCCACGCCCCCGTTGCAGGACAGGTTGCCGCGCAGACTCCCAAACCTCGGAACACCCTAGAAGTGGAGTCAAGCTGCTTGCTGGTAGCTTTTGAAAGGCGCGCGTTGGTCGATTCTGAATACAATAAAGCAGCGAATGATCTCGCCCGGCCTTGCTCCATTCCTGCCTCAGATGCGAGCGCCTTGGAGACTCCCAGGCCGTAACCCCCAGGGTTTGAGCCTAGTGGGGTCCAGGGGAAGCTGAACGGCCCGTGGGCTCCTATGATGACTTTTCCCATTTGCTCCGGCTGTACCCGATCTGCTGGTGCTTCCCTCCCTCTACTTGGCCGGAAAGATTCGGTGGAGAGTAAGAAAAGGGGCAAACGCGAGGAAGTGGAAAAGAGCGGAGTAGACTTAGATCACGACAAGGGTCCTTACCAGGAGGCCCGGGCAGAGGTTCCGGCAGGATTTTGAAAGACGAAAATTGCTGGAGGCGTCTGTTTTGTTTATCAGAATTGAGAGGAAGAAGGGAGGGGAAAACGGAGAGCAAGCAGGAAAGAAAAAACAAAAACGAAACCCAAAACCAAGTTCCTGTGGTTTAAGAACAAGGCACAGTAAGTGGAATGGTTTCACATCAAACCTCAAAGAGCCGGAACGTAAACTGCTCCTGGGATTCTAGCGCATGTGATCCTACAGGGGTTAGTATTGTGTGTCGTGGCCCCAGCAATTTCGGCTCGAATTCGAGTCACAGCAATGTCGTTTGTGGTGACTGGAGCCTAACTTTTACATGTGTTCAAACCCGCGCAGGCTGCAGAAACACCAGTCCTTTGTCCCCCAACTGCCCAGCTATCATTTCTGGAAAATGTTGCTTCTGTCTTACTCACATTTTGAAGAATCTGAAAGACCAGATTTTTAAAACAATTTTGTATCAGATAAGTGACACATCCTTGGCAGACCTGTTTATCTGCTTAAACCTTGGCTCCTGGGAACCTCTACTCCTGGGGCTTTGGCTGTTGTTGGCCATTGGTCTTATATTCACCACATCCACCTCTCTAGTATAATCTCAACAATCTTTAAATTAAATGCCTGTTGTATCTGTCAGGATCAGACGACTGGAAGAATTCAACAATAGCGAATACATAAATGATGATAACAGTGACCACATGACCCTGCAAACTGACAACTCAACTAATGGAAACAGCAACTATGTGATTGTTTTTTTTTTTAATCTATTTTTTATTGTTGTTCAAGTACAGTTGTCTCCACTTTCCCCTCCTCCACCTACCCCTACCACCCGCCCTCAGTCCTACCCCCCTTTGGCTTTGTCTATGGGTCCTATATACATGTTCCTTCACAACCCTTCCCCTTCTTTCCCCCATTTGCCCCTTCCCTTCTGGGTACTGTCAGTTTGTTCTTTATTTGAATGTCGCTGGTTATATTTTGCTTGCTTGTTTGTTTTGTTGATTAGGCTCCACTTACAGGTGAGATCATATGGTATTTGCCTTTTACCTCCTGGCTCATTTCACTTAGCATAATGCTCTCCAAGTCCATCCATGCTGTCACCAAGGGTAGGAGCTCCTTTTTTCTTTCTGCTGCATAGTATTCCATTGTGTAAATGTACCATGTTTTTTTTTTTTGATCCACTTATTTACTGGTGGCCACTTAGGTTGCTTCCAGCACTTGGCTATTGTAAACTGTGCTGCTATGAACATTGGGGTGCATAGGTTCTTTTGACCTGGTGTTTCAGTATTCTTAGGGCGTAATCTCAGCAGTGGAATTGCTGGGTCAAAAAGCAGTTCCATTTTTAGTTTTCTGACAAAATTCCATACTGTTTTCCACAGTGGCTGCACCAGTCTGCATTCCCAGCAACAGTGTATGAGGGTTCCCTTTTTTTCTACAACCTCACCAATATGTTTTGTTTGTTGATTTGTGTGGTATCTCACTGTGGTTTTAATTTGCATTTCTCTGATAGCTAGTGATGCTGAGCATCCTTTCATATGTCTCTGAGCCCTCTGTATGTCCTCCTTGGAGAAGTGTCTATTCAGGTCCCTTGCCCATTTTTTAATTGGATTGTTTGTCTTCTTAGAGTGGAGTTGTGTGAGTTCTTTATATATTTTGGAGATCAAACCCTTGTCTGAGGTATCATTGGCAAATATATTTTCCCATACGGTTGGTTCCCTTTTCATTTTGCTGATGGGAAACAGCAAATATGTGATTCCTTGGCCTGACTACATCAGTGGTGGTAACCCAGAGGAACGCTGTACCTGTTTGTGATGCTGCTGAGAGCATGCCCCACAGGAGGAAATTGTTAAAATCAGACACTCTTGGCCAGATGGGAGGGGCTGAGGGGGTGGTGAAAGGGATTAACAAGTACAGATTGCCAGTACTACAAATAGGCACAGGGTGTCAAACACCACACGGGGAACATAGTCAAGAACGCTGGAATAACTATGTATGGAGCCAGATGGGTACTAGGCTTTTTGGGGACACGAGTTCACAAGTTATATAAATGTCTAATCACCATGTTGTATGCCTGAAACTATTCTAATATCGTATGTCAACTGTAATTGAAAAATAAATGTAAAAAATGTTAAACCAAATGGGAATGGGGATCAGACTTGAAAATTCCCTGAGCAGGCAAACCAGTTCAATCAAACAAGCAAAAGTTAAGACAAGTGAACCTTAACTTGGGCCACTTCTGGTTAGTTCCTCCAAAAAACATAAACAAAACTTAAACCACATTTACACAGTCCCCTGTCACTAGGAAGACTCTAGTCACTGTGACGGATAAACAGCCCCTGCCCCTCCCTACATCAGCTGCTTTAGAACAACATGCCTGTGAGCCCTGTTCCACGTCAGGTCTGAGTGCTCCCGATTTCCCAGACTGCCTTTTTGGGCACAATACCCCCATGCTGACCACTATTTCGGTCCTCCAGTGGTTTCACTTCTGCTGTTCAGAAACTTTTGACAGTGCCTCAACATTTCCATCTGCTAGACTGGGCCAACAGGAGAACTCCACGTCATGCGGTCATTGTCACATGTGCCTGGATCCAGTGCCTGCCCAGTCAGTAATGTAGAAGTCCCACAATCATTGTCATTGTCCTCTGCTCTGTTTGTTAGCGATCACTGTCCAGGCTCCTCTCACTTTACCTTTGCCTCTTCTAGAACTGTGTGCAGCTGGAATCCTAGCGCAAATGCACTCCTCTGCCCGCTTTCTCTCTGCATGGCATCTCTGACTTGATTCGCTGTTGAGTGACATGGATGCCATTGCTCTTGGGCCGCTGAGTGGGATTCCCTGGCAGGAACATACCATAGTTTGTTTACCATCCATCTGATAATGAGCATGCGGGCTGTTTCCATTGTTGCCTACTCTGAATAAAGCTGCTTTGAACACTCTTTCCACAACAGATATTGTGGACACGTTTTTATTTCTCTTGGGTAAAAACCTAGGTGAGGAATGGCCGGTATGAAAGAGTGGCTTACACACAACTTCATGAAAACCAAGCTTTTGTCAAAGCAGTTGTACCATTTCATGTCCTTGCCAACCATGCGTGGGAGTTGTGGTTGTTCAATGTCCTGCCAGGATTCGGGTGTTTCCTCCCCTTGTAATTTTAGCTGTGCTGCTGGGAGTCGTGCTACCTCCATGTGGCTCTGCTGCTCACTTCTCTGACAGCTAAGAGTGCTGAACACTCTGTTACACGCTTTGTTGGGAACGTGTACAGTACCTTCTCTGAAGAAGCATTTTCATGTCTTTTACCCTTCTCAAAACCTTGGGTTGTTTAATATTTTTATTATCAGGTTAGAGGAGCTCATTATACATTATATCTACAGGGTCTTTGGTCAGATCTTTTGTATCTCCCTCCAGTCTGTGGCTGGCTTTTTCATTGTCTTGGCATCTCTGCATGAGAAGGTATGGTTAATGCCGATGAAGTCTAGCGTATCACGCCTTTCCTTTGTCCATATTTTTCCTGTGCCCTGTTTAGTAAATCTTTGCCTAATACCAAGTCGCAAAGAATCTTCCAAAGGGCTGTTTCTGTCCCCTCCCCCACACCCAATAGTAAACCTATTCTCTCTCACTACTGAACTGCTTTTATTGAAAACTATTTCACCAATTGAGCTGTGGGTCAGTTTCGAGTCTTCCCACTTAATCCGTTTATCAGTTTGCCTATCATGATGCCACTGGCACGTTGCCTGCCCTGTTGGGGCTCACAGTACCTCCTAAGTCAGGAAGTGCAAGTCCCCTGGTTCTGTTCTTTTTCACATCGTGCAATAGTGTCAGAAGCATGTAATAGCTCTTGTAGCCACCACACAGCTCACAGGCCTGCTCTTCAACCCTCTCCTACGTGCACTGTTTGCCCCCTTGTGGCCAAAGATCCTCCACTGTACCCGCTGGGGAGAATAAATCTGCCAACCTGAGGATGGATGAACATGCAAGATGACTACAAAACTCAACACAGACTCTGGATTTTCTGCGGGGGGTGGTGGTAGGTGGAGATAGCTCACTTTTCAGTCCTGTGATCTCAGGAAAAGTTTACTTTAATACTTCTAACTGTGACATGTACAAAGCTTTGTGCTGTTTACAATTTCCTCTCTTTCTAGGGAGGTAGAGTCCCGTGGAGGGCCCCCAGTGATCGTTGAGTGCAATGTTGCAAATGGGAGGCTGAGCGACAGCACGTTTGTCCTGCCTCTGAAAGAAGATGAGGAAAAGGGGAGGCGCAGGAGGGGGAGAATAAACTGGAACCAGAACACTGGTTTTGGGGGTCTGGCACTGGATGTCAGCTACAGGAGACAAAGACGCTGGTGAGAGTTTCCAGGGAACAGGAACTTGGGTAGGAACATGTTCATACTCGTACACTGTGACGTTGCTGTAAGGATCTCAATAATAGTTGCTTTAAAAAAAAAGTAATGATCCTTTCCTCCAAGAGCAGTTGGGACAATAAAATGCATGCAGTTGCATCCTGGGAATTCACGGGACTCTCGGCCCAGGCCCGGGAAGTTCAAGTACTGCCAACTGGGAGGGCTGGGGGTAGCCCATTCACCGGCGGGTCTTCGTTTTCTGCTTTCTATTTCGGCAATTGGAGACCTGGATGCCACTCACCATCACCGGCCACGGGTGGATGCGGTTCCAAAGGAGGTAGCTTCGTGGAAACTCCAGATCTTGAAACTTCACATGTTGTTCTCTTCTCTTCCGCGAACCCAATGAGAAGATTCAACGCCTTTCTTTCCCACCAGGACCCTTGGGGTCCCTCGTGGACAGGACTGAAGTGGGCAGCTGGCTTCCTCTAGGTGTCCCTGTGGGCCTGGGCGCTCCAGAGCTCAAGCTGAGCCAGGCCTAACAATCCCAGAGGGTGGGGCGGGGGTGCGGGGGCAGCCGGGAAGGTCCCGCCCGCGGGGGTGTGGAAGTCGGGTGTGAGGTTCGGGCATCTCAGTCAAACCCCATTTGCCCCCGCCCAACCCCCGCCCAGCAGTGCAGCAGCACCGCTCCTCTGGGATGCGGGGGGCGGGGCGGGGGGAGCCGAAGAAAGCGGCCCCTGAGTCTTCTGTGCAGGCTCCACACAAACGACCGACAGGAACCTCACCGAGCGGACCCAGCCCTCTGCCTGGCTGGCCCCCGTGGACAGGGTCAAAAAGGTTGATTTCCGACAGAACCAAAGGGAAGGCCTAAAGGCAGAAACCCCAGGGTCTCCAGATGAAAAGTCTTAAATCCCACGCCCGACTGACCCGCGCGCCCAGGGCTGAATGCATCGCGGCGCCCGGATCAGGAGGGTCGTCTGCGCAACTTCTGAGACCAGGAACTGTGCGCCGGCTGGTCCTCAATCGGGGCGATTCGGCCGGCACACCCCTCCCGCCCCCCAATCCCCACCCCCACCCCTGGCCGGGACTCTGGGCCTCGTCTGGGGACATTTTTGGTGGTCGCGACTAGGGGAAGGGGTGCGGGGGAGTCCCCCCGGCTCCCAGCCAGCAGAGACCAGGGGGCGCCTCAGCACCCCGCGCCCGCGAAACTGGCCAGGTCCCAAGGGCGCCCCCGCCGACGTGGAGAGTCCCTGGAGCTGACCCTGTCCGCTCCCCGACGGACCGGAGGACACGCGGACCCGACTCCCCGCGTGTGGGGAAACCCGCGTCCGCGAGAACTCCGAGTGCAGCTGCAGTTGTCCACGGGTGGTGTTTCCGTCCACTGAGGCGGCGGGAACGCGGGTGCCGCAGGTCGCCGGGGAACAGCCGGCATCCTGGTCAAGGCGGCGGAGCCTCACTTGAGAGCACGCTCCGTCCTCATCACCTCGGTCCCGCTCCCCCCCAGCCCCTTCTGGGGTCGGGGACCCCCGGTCTCACCCCACGCGCGCCTCCCCTCTGGCCTCCTCCCTTCCACTCGGTCCACCGCCCGGCCCCGGCCACCTCCCTTTACCCGCGGCCGCGGGCAAAGGCGCATCTCCGGGCGGTGCGGACGCTCCTTCTCTGGAGAAGGCAGGGGGCGGACTCGGCCTCAGGGAAGCCTTCCTGCGAGCCGCGGTGACCGGCCTGCTCACCCCTCCACACCCGCCCCCGCGGGAAGGGCCCCCGGAGCCCCGGACAGGTGTCGCCCTGCTCTGCCTCACTGAGGAGGACAAAAGAAGCTACCACACTCCCTGGTGGTCTAGTGGCTAGGATTCGGCGCTCTCACCGCCGCGGCCCGGGTTCGATTCCCGGTCAGGGAACCACTTTTGCACCCAATGACATCCGGCCTGCAGGGAAACCATCCTGGAGCTGTGGCGTTATTTATTGGGTGCCTCTCCTCGCACCCACTCTTCGTCTCCCGCAGGGGCGGCCCGCATCTCCGCCAGCCCTGGTCTTGCTTGGCTCCGCGGCAGCCGCTCGCTCCTACAGGGGCCTCTACGGGGGCTCCTCGGCGGCTCGCGCAGGGGTGCACATCTGCACTGATGTGGCATCCTGGAGGTCTGCAGGGCGCGGTGCCGCACAGCCCGGAGTAACTGAGAGGTGGTCCTGGGCGCAGCCGGGCGCCCCCGCCTGGGTCTCCTCAGCTCCGTCGGCTCAGAAAGAGGCGGCTCCGCCTTCGGAAGAGCAGCCTCCCAGCGCCCGGGCAACTGTCCCGCCCGTCTGTTAAGCCCTGTGGGGAGGTGAGGTGAACCGACGCAACAAAAGCAGCCTGTGAAGTGGCCACGAAATGGAACACGCTGACCGAAATGGAACACGCTGACCGCTGCCAGAGCGGAAAGGAGTGGAAACCAACAGCAGACGTGCAGACAGCGGTTGCACAGCCCACACCGTGTGCGTTCGCCGGGGGCGGGATGGGCGGTGACGCTGAGTGTGCGGAGCAGGGACCCGAAGGCGGCACAGTGCTCGGAGGGCGAGCGCTCACTCTCACCTGGAAGGGGAGACACCACGATCTCGAAGGTGGTTCTCCCCGGATGGACCTTGGTCATTGCATCCTCTCGGAGCTGACCCCTCTGTTCCCCTCATGGGGGAAACCACGGAGCAATTTCTGCTGGGGGTGGGGGAGAGGTGCGGATGGCTAGAGGTCCGTTTGCTTTCTGTCTCCGACCTCCCCGGGTTGGTGAAAGGCCGCATCTCTTTCGTGGTACCGCACCGCGCCCCTCGGGCGGCACTGCATGTGGGTTCGCCCGGGTCAGCGCTCCTCCATCTACCTGGCTCTCCTGTTTCCTGGCTGAAGTGTGTGGACCCCTCTGCCTCTTGCGCCACCTGTCCAGGGTGCGCTCGACCTGCCCTCTCTCTCCCCAGAGCGCGGTGGGCTGCGCAGAGACGCCCACCAGCACCAGGAAGGCCCCCCGGCGCCCAGTGCTGGCCAGGCTGGAAGTCGCTCGGTGAAAGTCGCGCTCGCGGCCGTCCCTCCCCGGCCAGGTGCGGAGGAGGCGCCCCTTCCTGGAAAATCGAGGCCCGAGCCCGCCTTCAGCTGGAGGCTCCCGACTCCCGCCTGCATTCCCGAGCACCCCTCTCCCCCTGCCCAGGGTAGCCAGCTGCCTCTCCTCTCACACCCGCTTTCCCTTCTCCTGCTCCTCCTCCAGCCCAGCCGTGTGCTTGGGGAGGATCCCCACGCCGCCCCCCCCACACACCCACGCTCCCCACCCCTCGGATTGGCCCCAGCTGCCTGTGCCGAGCTCGCAGATCAGGTTGGATCAACCTTTTCCAACAACCGGAGGACACAGAACCTGCGGCAGAAGGGCAGCCGGTTCCCTTGCCGCTTCCCCTCAGCCCAACCAGGGGGCCCGGCCCAGTGTGTCGCTCCTCCCTGGGGGACCTGGCCGCGCGCCCCCTCGGCCTTGGCTGAGATGCCGGCGCTCTTACTGCTCCTCGGGGAGCAGCGGGACTGTGCTCTGTGGCGTCCGCCCTTACCCGCGAGAGACGGCGGGCACAGGCTCCGCCACTAGCCGGGACTCAGCGCGCTGGACCACCGAGGACCACACTTCCGTGGGCCCGTCCTCCCCCTCGGCGTCCTTGGGCAGAGGACAGGTGATCTAGGACGATCTCTCTGGACCGCCGGGTCCGAGACGGAGGGAGAGAGGGCGAGCCTTCCCACAGGGCGGGATGCGGGTGCTCGCAGAGACTTGGGAAACAAAAGCGCCCTCTCTCGGCCCCGGCCTGTCTCACCTTGTTCTCAGTCTCACCCGGCTGCGGTGGTCTCCGCCTCTCCCTCCTCCTCCTCCTCCTCCTCCCCCCCGCACCCTTTCTCCTCCTCCGCCCCCCCCTCCCCCCACCGCCGCCGGTTTCTCCGTTTTCTACCCTGCGCTTCCTTCAGTCTTCCTTCCTTCCGTGTCCCGGAACCTCTCAGCCTCCACAGCAGATGATACAGTTCCGTGGGCTGTTCTCAGCTCCAGAGAAGGAAATGTGTGCAGAGCGCCACAATTATCTGAGCTCTTACCATTTTCATCACTAATGAATCATCGGGATTTCCAACTCGTTGTTTTTAAACAGTTACATTTCCATTGTCTGAATATATTGACATACATTTGAACATCGTATCATTGCTTTTTTACTAAAGAGAAAATTTATATGTCGCTAGCCATAAATTTCTGTCATTAATTATTACATAAATGCTGCCTACTGCCACTATACAAGTGGCAGGACCATTCTGTGTTCACGATTCTCTTCGGAATTTTCATGCTTTAAGTGGGTACCCCTATTAGAGAAGGTGGAACATTGAGATGCAATCTAGCATCCATAATATCTGGTGTTTTGCAGATCGCAACGTCGAAGAAATGTGTTTTTAATCACCTTTCATTTGAGTCACCTGATGTAAAAAATAAATCAATCATTTAGATGTGCTAGGTCTCTAAAGGAGATTTTCCGTGTGCTCCTGGAAATGGTTACAGACAGTGAGGTTGTCAGGGTCAACTGCCATGTCCACCTCCTGCGGTCATTTCATTGCCACTTTGTTTCCCAGCTGCTCTCCTTTGCGTGCAGTGGGTGCCTGGATCAAATATGTGTTTGGCTTGACTTCTGTGGTATCCTGAACTTGCTGCAGTACTTTATTTTTCTTCAACCTGTTCATTAGAAATTCAGCGTGGCGTTTCTCTTTGATCTCTTCGACTCTCTTCATTGCATCAAGAGTTTTATTCTACAGCTTTTGCTGGCCCTTGGCAGTTTCATTTCTACCTTTTCCAAATTCAGATGAATTATCCACTGAAAGCTCTTTACCAGCTGCCTTACTGAATGCTTTAGTCCACTGACCTTGTGATAATTGCACTTTTTTTTGACACTTGAATTTACCAAATCTGAACACCCTGCTATCGTTGCAGACAAACTTCATGTTGTGGCCTTTTGGGCACCGCTCTGTGTGGTTTTGGAGACTGTGGCCCTGTGAAAGCAGGCTCTGAAAGGGGCTAGGAAGTCTCCCTGGAAAACCAGGTAACGCAGGTGGCAGGCATGACTGGACTCTAACACCAAGGGATCCAATGGGAATCAGGCTCGATAAATACATTGTATCCTTGGAAGCTTGCTCTGCTTTCCTTTGTATAGCTCTGTTGATATAAACCAGATGTTTAAGTTTAAGGTAGAAGGATTAAACTCCTTATCTCATGAAATACATCTTAAAGACCATCTGGCATCAGCATGACTAACAGACCCTGACCTATGACAAATCTCTGTGTTCCTTCCATTGTTATCTGTAGATAATATCTGGTTTTGTATGACTATAGCCTGTTGATATTGATGAGCTATGCATGCATGCTGTATACGCCTACACATACCATTCCCAATAAAAGCCATTTGGGAGAAGGGCTCAGGGCGATCCTCACTAGAGGAAGTTGCTATTCCCTTTCCCACTGGAACAGCAAGATTGTGTCTGGGATGACTTATTTACCATCCGAGATGGACAGGAGAAACTGTGGGATGGGGCATCTCCCACAGTGGCCCAGGCACATGGCCCCCAAACAGAAATAACAATTCTCCGTGTGCAAGTTGAACCTGCGTGGGTACCCACCACCCAAATGCCCAGCTTGAAAGGCAGTCACATCATCACATCATTGTTGAACAATAAATTGGTTCTGCTCTTTTATTTCATGATAAAAATACTGCTGCAGAGAAGATTCTTATACTTATATCCTCGGCAATTCTGTAGGGAAGATACTACTTGCTATTTTATGCACCTGGAGCCAACCCATCAATGTTAAATACCTTTCACGCAATTTTGCCAGCAATCAAACACTCAAGGGCACTTTCCCTAGCTTGTTACCATCGCAGTTCAAGGATTCTGGCAATTGGCACAGGGTCCTGGATTGCCTGAAACTCAGGGTTTTTTCTCTGCTCTCTTCTGTTTTCTCCCCTTCTCAGGTCCCCACCTGCCAATAGAATGGCTGGTAACAACGATGTAAGCACATCACTGCTTATTGGGGAACGGAGGTGCTTCCACTGATTGCATGCTAGCCTACCCAACATTCCTTGTGCTTGCAGCCAGGGAAAAAGACATCTGCCATGTGCCCCACTCTGGCCGTCTTCTGGCTGTTCTTTTATTTATTTATTTATTTATTTATTTATTTATTTATTTATTTATTTATTTGAGAGAGGTGAAGGGAGGGAGAAGATATGGAGAGAAACATCGATTGGTTGAGAGGGGGCAACCAGGGACCTGGCCTGCAACCCAGGCTTGTGCCCTGACCACGATGTCCAACCCACCACGCCACACTAGTCAGGGATGTGCCTTCCTTCTTTATGTAAGAATTAGGTGGATCCAAGAGGATATTCCTATGTGGAGACCACGTTCTCCCTCCCCATAGGTCTACCCAGTGTACAAGGAATCCCAGAACCCCTCACACAGCTGTCTTTTAGCTCATGTGCACAGTCTGCGGATCTTTCTTCCTGGCATTGTCACACTGCCAGTCTTAGGGCTTGTGGGCAGCGTGGCATCAAGAGGCTGTTAGTAGTTGGCATAACCAAGTGGTACTGAGGACATTTAATGAATTCGAAGAAAAAGACACACAGAACCTGAGAAAAATAACCAGGGTCTTGGGGATAAGAACCTTATCAGGAAAAATCCAAGAGGCTAACAAACATGTAATAGCACTCATATCCATTAACGACACGGAATGTTAAAAATGGAACCCTAATGAGAGAATTTACAGGTGGGGTAGGGGGACATTAAGGGGGAGAGGGGGATGGGGTAGAAGGTTATCACCTAGTAAAGCATGGGAAGAATTAGACCAAAGGACTAATACTATTTTACTTCTTTATCCGTGCATAGGTTACACAGGGGTGTGCACTATAATCACCTGGTATATTGTACGTATAGGTTCTGTGCATTTTCCCTTATGTATGTTAAACGTGATTTCAAACTCTCTTCCCATCCCACAATGAATATTATGGCAGAGAGAATGTTGTTGAGATTTCAAGATTTTGTTTCAAGAGAAAGGTGTGGATATTACTCTTTTTTAAAAAAATTTCTTTATTTTTTATTTGTTTGGAGAGGAGAAGGGAGAGAGAAAGAGAGGGAGAGAAATATCAATGTGTGGTTGCCTCTCATGTGCCCCCCTAGTGGGGACCTGGCTTGCAACCCAGGCATGTGCCCCAGGCTGGGAATTGAACCAGGGACCCTTTCATTTGCAGGCTGGCACTCAATTGACTGAGCACACCAGCCAGGGGTGGGCATTACTCTTTACTGCAACCAAGGGCAACCCTACAGAGACAAGGCCTATGAAATTGAGTTTAGCATGATGTGAGCTTAAAGAATACTCCCTGGCAAGCAAACTGTAGTTGAAAATAAAAGTTAAATTCTTTTTATTTCTTTTACTTGAATATTCTGAAAAGCCTATAGGCCAAGCCATAACCATTCACACTTCTTTGCTTTCCCATTGCTTATTTCATAACCCACAGTTCCCTTTTCCTTCCTCTCTTTCAAACTCACTAACAAGATTGTCCTGCAGCCTGGTCATGTAGTTCAGTTTGTCAGAGCATCTTCCTGATGCTCTAAGGTTGCTGGTTTGATCTTTAGTCAGGACATGTGCAAAAATTGACCTGTGAGTACATAAATAAGTGGAACAACAAACAGTTTTTTTTCCTTTCTCTCAAATCAATAA